CCGTTCATGCTCTGTCTCTCTCTGTCCCAAAAATAAATAAACGTTGAAAAAAAAAAATTTTAAAAGAGTCAGAAGCCTAACTGGCTGAGCCACACGGGTGCCCCAAGAATGTGCATTTAAAAAAATTTTTTCTTAACATTTATTTATTATTGAGAGACAGAGCGTGAACAGGGGAGGGGCGGAGAGAGAGGGAGACACAGAATCCGAAGCAGGCTCAGGCTCCGAGCTGTCAGCACAGAGCCAGACGCGGGGCTCGAACTCACAAACCGCGAGATCATGACCTGAGCTGAAGTTGGACACTTAACCAGCTGAGCCACCCAGGCCCCCTGAGAATGTGCATTTTTAACGGGTTCCCAGGGGATGCTGATATCACTGGTCCCTGGACCAGTTTTTGAGATCCATGGTTCTACATGAACACTTTTGTCCTAATTTTAGTAACTGGCTGGATATACTGAGACAGAGAGTATGTACGGAGAAAAGAACATAGATTCAAATCCTGACCTTGCCTCTTACCAGCTCAGTGATCACTCCGTGCCTTGGTTCCCTTTCTATAAAATGGAGAGAATCATACCTTATGTGGTTTTGTGAGGCTTAAAATGGCTGAACATTTGTAAAGTGCTTGGAAAAGTGTCTTGCAAATGGTAACTGTGGTGTAAGCGTTTGCTATTATTATTATGTGGATTCACATCTAATTATTTCATCCTTGCATTTTTTATAATGTTCACAAATTATAAACTACAGATACCTAAAAATACAGGAACTAAATTAATGACGGTGCCTACAAATGATGGAATGTCTAAATCCCTTAAGACTGATGCTATATGTATTTGCTGACATACAATACTGAATAACTGTTTATGGTATATTATTAAGTGAAAAATAGTATGAATTGCTGGATGAGAGAGAGAGACAGACAGACAGACAGAGTGTGAGTGGGCTAGGGGCAGAAAGAGAGGGAGACACAGAATCCGAAGCAGGCTCCAGGCTCCGAGCTGTCAGCACAGAGCCCGACGCAGGGCTTGAACCCACAAACGGTGTGATCATGACCTGAGCTGAAGTTGGACGCTTAACCAACTGAGCCACCGAGGTGCCTTTATGTGTGTGTGCGTGTGTGTGTGTTTAAACTATGCTTGCAGATGAAAATATATGGCTAACGATAGCCCAAAATGTTAACAGTGGTTCTCCTTATCTCTAGCCCCTAAATATTTCACATAAGATATTACTTTTGTAACTAAAACAGAAAACATTAAATATCTAAATGTTAATGCCCTAAAACAGCTAGAAGACTATATAGGGAAGGGAAATACTCTTCTGATATTTTGTAGGGAAAGATCTTTTGAGCCTGAAAGCCAAGAAAGTGAACATAAAAATACTGACAGCAAAAATCAAAAACTCCAGGGCGCCTGGGTGGCTCGGTCAGTTGAGCGCCCCACTCTTGATTTCAGCTCAGGTCATGAACCCAGGGTTGTGGGATCGAGCTCCGTGTTGGGCTCTGTGTTGAGTGTGGAGCCTGCTTAAGATTCTTTCTCTTTCTCTCTCTCTCTCTCTCTGCCCCTCTCCTCTGCTCATGCTTTCAAATTAAAACAAACAAACAAACAAAAACTATCAGTCAAAAACACCAAAAAGAAAATGCAAACGCAGATAGCAATCTCAGACAAAAAAAATTGCAGGGCAAATAATAAAATGTCAGTAAAGCTCAATGCACCAAATGTGCTTAATAACGCCCCCCAAATAAACCAACACCCCAAAATGGGTCATGGACATACTCCAATGCTTCACAAACAAAAGATACATTTAAAAAAAATTTAATGTTTATTTATTTTTGACGGAGAAAGAGAGAGAGAAAGAAAGAGAGAGAAAACGTGAGTGGGGGAGGGGCAGAGAGAGAGGGAGACACAGAACCCGAAGCAGGCTCCAGGCTCCGAGCTGTCAGCACAGAGCCCGATGCGGGGCTCGAACTCATGAACCGCAAGATCATGACCTGAGCCGAAATCAGGGGTCTGATGCTTAACTGACTGAGCCACCCAGGCACCCCTCAAATAAAAATGTTTTTAAAGAAAGCTCTTAAAACACCTTGCTATTCCAAGTGTGGTCCTTGGACCAGTAGCACCAACAGCATCTGGGAACATGCTAGAAATGCAGAGGCTCAGATCCCCTCCCCATAACCTACTGAATCAGGACCTATATTTTATCCAGAGCCCCAGGTGACTCAGTGTGCACATTCATGTTTGGTAAATGCTGCCTTAGCGCACTGCTTCTGGAAGTAGATTGGTACACATATTCGGGATGGTTTAGTGTTGGTCTGGCTGTATTTCATGGACGTGAGACACGCAAAAAACTTCCATGCTGTTCTGCCATCTTGGCTCCTCCTCCAATTTTCTGGCACATTCAGTACAGACATCTCACAATATGAATTCTTTGGCAAGAACTTTAATATTGATATGTTGTGGGTTTTTTTTTTTTTTAATGTTTATTCACCTTTGAGACAGAGAGACACAGAGAGAGAGGGAGACACAGAATGTGAAGCAGGCTCCAGGCTCAGAGCTGCCTGCACAGAGCCCGAGGTGGGGCTCGAACTCACAGACCACGAGATCATGACCCGAGCTGAAGTGGGACGCTCAACTGACTGAGCCACTCAGCGGCCCCAAGAAATATTCATAAGTTTTGGTTCACGAATTCCACTCCCAGGTATTTAGCCTGGGGAGATAATCAGATAAATTTAATAAATGTATGTGCAAGTTACATTTTTAATAGAAAAAATTTGGAAGCAAGTTAAGTGCCCAACAGAGGAATATTAACTAGGTGGTAGAATGATGTGCTGCTATTAAAAATAAAAATGAGGGGCGCCTGGGTGGCTCAAGTCGGTTGAGCGTCCAACTTCAACTCAGGTCATGATCTCGCGGTTCGTGGGTTCCAGCCCCGCGTCGAGCTCTGTGCTGACAGCTCGGAGCCTGGAGCCTGCTTCGGATTCTGTGTCTCCCTCTCTCTCTGTTCCTCCCCCGCTCGCACTCTGTCTCTCTGCCTCTCGAAAGTAAATAAAGATTAAAAAAATTAAATCAAAATTGGAATGTTAGTTGAATATTGAAAGTTATGAAAAAGGCTCATGGTACGTTACACAAAAAACCATGCCAGAAATTCATGCTTTTACAGAATTACTTGACAACAGTAACTTTGCAAACAAAACATGTGCATCTGCATTTGAAGTCTATAAGGAAATATGATCTGCAATGCTGTGAATCAATGATCTTTTTGGGAGGGGAGAGAGAGGGCACAAGGGAGTGAGGGGGAAAGAGACAGGGAGGAGGAAGAGGGAGGGAGGAAGGGACAGGGAGAGAGAGAGAAAAGCAGAGCTCACTGGAAGCAGGGCTTGAGCTCACCCAAAGTGGGGCTCGAACTCACGAACTATGAGATCATGACCTGAACCAAAGCCACCCAGGCGCCCCTCAATTATCTTTTAAAATGCTCTTTACTTTTCTGTACATTGTCACGCTTCAATAGTAAATATATTACCACCTTACAATCATTTAAAAGTTATTTTAAGGGGCGCCTGGGTGGCGCAGTCGGTTAAGCGTCCGACTTCAGCCAGGTCACGATCTCGCGGTCCGTGAGTTCGAGCCCCGCATCAGGCTCTGGGCTGATGGCTCAGAGCCTGGAGCCTGTTTCCGATTCTGTGTCTCCCTCTCTCTCTGCTCCTCCCCCGTTCATGCTCTGTCTCTCTCTGTCCCAAAAATAAATAAACGTTGAAAAAAAAAAATTAAAAGTTATTTTAAAAGGATCGCCACAACTCACACTACCACAGGCAAAAAATATACCTTCTCCTCTTCCTCTCTCTGGTATGGTTTTATCATTTTCTTTTAGATTTGCTGGTTTGAAAAAGTGCGAAATGGCAACCCATTATTGTTTTAACTTTGAGTTCCTTAAAATTAATGAGTTCTACATTTATTTTTAGGCTCTGTTCTGGCACTGAATATTTTAAACTACATCATTAAATAATGCAGCTCATATTCTGAAATAACATGAATACTTGTTGGGTTCAGTTTACTTTATGTTTCAGAATATTAGGCTGGGTGGGCTTGGTTGGGACAAAGGTTTGTATACACCTCTTTCCTACATTCACAGGTCTTTTATTCCCCGATAACTCTTTCAACCATGTCGTATGAAAAATTTCGAACATCCACAAAAGTTGACAAAATTTTAAATTATAATGAGCCGCATGTACCCATCAACCAGCTTCAACAATGATCAATTCATGTTCAGTGTGGGTTCAGTTAATCACCAAACCATTTCCACATTTCCTGAATTATGTTGAAGCAAATCATATAATTGAATCTGTAAATATTTTTATATCTTTCTCTAAAAAATAAGTACATTACAAAAAACACACAGATAAAAGACCATTATGAGAACTAAAACGCATGGACAATTATTTCTTAAAATCTTTCATATTTTCCCAGTTTTAAAATTTCCCATTTCTCTCTCTCTCCCTGTCTGTCTCCCATGCTCTCTGGCTCTCCAGTTTGTTAGAAACAAGATGCAAAAAAAAAAAAAAAAA